GACTCTCACCAGATCCTGCAAAAAAAACCCTGCAATTATGAATATACATAATGATGATTTCTGCAACAAGGCTAAATTTGGCATCATGAAAAACGTTAGGGCTTAGGTCCAACATATTTGAATGTAGACATAACTGATCAAGTAGGCAGGAATGCCTTCACCCTAGACATGACCTCAAGGAACCAGGTCACCCGTGACCAAGGACCCTTCAGTATTTCTTTTGATCGTAAGGAGATGAACGGTATGTTCGTGGGACATGCATGCTCACCTACACAAAGCAAGTTTAAAGAGTGCTTCTCTCTTACGAGTCATTAAATCAAACCAAAGAGACCAAAACAGCCAATAACAATGAAATAAAGATGGACATCCTAAGAAGTTCACGATGACTCAAACAAGACGAAACACATGGTAAATTAAATTGGCGAGTGACCCAGTTGGTCTTGGTTTAAGTTTCGAAAATAATTGACGGCGAAGGAGGCTCAAATTTGCGGGACCAGGTACTTATCGTGAATAAGTTAAGACAAAATAAATTCCCTTCAACATAAAAATGAAGATTCACTTAGATAAATCAATCAGCAAACCAAGTGCTATCTACATTGTAACCCATTGACACTTATCATAAAGATACTTACTCACCCTTTCTCCGTTTCTGGTTGGCTCCCCGTAGTTTTGGCACGTGTGCTCGAATCACTATTACGTTTCCAAAACGTAGCCCAACAGCAATAAGAGGCTCATCAGGAGAACATCCCATACAGGTCGGGCGCTCTCCTATGTCCAAGACAGCTAGTACTTCTCCGGACATAACACTGAAAAGCCGTACGTTAGACTCATATCTGTAGCAGACCATAGTCTCGCCATCGTTGAGAAACCTGCAGTCGGCGATGTCGTAACAGTTTTCCAGAAAGACATGCTTCTTCATTCCAGTCTTCGCATTGAGAGCGTGCAATCCATAGCCGTCATTCAGAGTATTCCATGTGACGACTACATCTCCCTGAGGAGAAAATACGCAACGGGGATGTCTCCAGTTGCAACCGCCTTGGTAAACGTCGTCTTCTCTCCAGATGGGAACATTTGCCTCACCTCTGTAAAAGAAAATTTCGCGCTTTCCTGCGTCGTTTTGAGCGCAGAACACCACACCTCTTTGAAGACTGCACGCAATCGATTTCAGTTCTGGTTTACCACTCAAGTTTCTTTCAAATACAACTTTCCACGCGGAGACATCAAAAAAGGCAATTGTAAGTTCCTGTTGTCCTTCGGATGAAAATTTAGGCGTGCATAAAACGCATCCAACAAGATCTTGCGATACAGGAATTAGTCTTTCGATTTCGCCCATCATGGTGATAGAGTTTAGACCTTGAGACAAGTCACAGTTCCATACCTCCAATGTCTTGCTGTCTGTTTGCAAGAGAACACCTTTCTCACCATTGTATGTGACAGTTACAGTCATTATCCCATTCTCGACACGACGTGAACTGTGTTGGAAGGACTTTTCCTGCTTCACTTCCCTGGCATTGTTTGCATCCCGCATAGTAAATGTCACCAAGCGTGGCTCATCCGTTTCCATTTCTACCGAATGGTTGCAAATGGCGACAGTCGTGTACAAGCGCGTCCTACCGTTGACTGCAGAAAAAGCAGCTTGTGCTGTGCGTGGCATCTCTTTGTCTTGGAGGGAATGAGTAATATCAAGCATCGTCAAGTAATTAACCGTTGGACTCCCTACCACTGCCAAATCTTTTAGTAACGTGAGGCAAAATCCAATTTGCAAGTCTGCAGAAACGATATGGGATGTCTTGCAAACGGCTTTCAATCCATCAAAGGAATCATCCGATTCCCACGGCCACAGAAAGACACAAGATGACTGTGACTGAAGCGCTGACACCGAAAGTTTGTACTTGTCTCGGTGATCAGACAGCTCATGTTGGATACTGCCACAGACAAGAGCTCCCGCTTCTGTAAAATGTAACAGTCCACAGGGGTTACCTTCCCCAGAAATGTTTGGAGGTGCTTTCTTCC